GCTTTTAATTATCCATTAACAACTTCAATAATTATAAGATTACATTTCAGGTAATTTACAGTAAGATTTTTTTTTAATGTGGATCCTAACACAGAATCATATCAGAAGATGTTATACCCAAATATATATTTTTTAGGTTTATACAAATTCTTAGAAATGTCTCACAGATCATGTTAAGGCAATAAACTGAATAACATATTCACTGTACAATACTGTTCCTGAAGTCTTTATTAGCAACAAAAGTAAGAATTTATATCTTTATTATGCCAAAGAATGATTTAAATAACTCCCTAAATCAGTTTCCTGTCATGTGAGATAATACATTATTACCAGACAACTGTGCTTCTTGTCAAAGAGAAAGAAACTATTCCACTAGACTCAAAATTTTTGTGAAGATAAATATTTAGGAAAGTAAACCATACATGTAATTAAACCCCAGTGAAAAACATTAAGCAACTATTGAAGAAGAAGTTATTATTCTGACCATCAACATTCATATAAAAAGTAAACAGTTTAACTGTATAGGGTTATTTATTAATCTTTCTGGGAATGAGTCCCATGATTTTAAGAATTAAGACTCCATAATTCTCTTTAGATCGTGAGTAATAGATCTAGGATATGGGAAACTCAAATTATATTAGTCTCTTGATTCCATGAAATTGAATTCCCTTCTTTGTTCTTCAGCATTTCACTAATGTGATTGCCTATAAATATTGTGAGGATCAAGTAACAAATTATATTTGAAAGGTTTTTTCCAATCCTTCGGACCATTTGCAACATCAATAACGACAGGATTCTTTTTAAAACACAACTTTTTCCTCTTAAAACTCTCCTCTAATATATTTTTGTGCCATCATTGTCTCTTCCTTTCAGTTGTTTCATTTTTATTTTTTAAAAGATTTTATTTATTCATTTGACAGAGATCACAAGTAGGCAGAGAGGCAGCAGAGAGAGAGAGGGAGGAAGCAGGCTCCCTGCTGAGCAGAGAGCCCCGATGCTGGGCTCCATCCCAGGACCCTGAGACCAGACCGGAGCCGAAGGCAGAGGCTTTAACCCACTGAGCCACCCAGGCACCCCCCTTTCAGTTTATTTTGATAAGATTTATTTCAAACTATGAAATGCATGATTATGGGAAATTTAAATAATAAATAAAATTTAAAGGGAAAATATCTGTAATTCTATCAATTTTTCCTCCAGGATTTTGGTGAAACAATTGTAATCTGAACAAGGTGCTCCACATCTTTTTTTTTTCCCCCAGATTTTATTTATTTATTTGACAGAGAGATCACAAGTAGGCAGAGAGGCAGGTAGAGAGAGGAGGAAGCAGGCTCCCCGCTGGGCAGAGAGCCCGATGCATGTCTTGATCCCAGGACTCTGGGATCATGACCTGAGCCGAAGGCAGAGGCTTCAACCCACTGAGCCGCCCAGGCACCCCTCCACATCTTTTTTTAATGCTAGGAAAAATCTTTAAGATAATTCACTCGGGCTTTTGATAAATTTGGTTAACACTCATGTACTGTTTTGTGGTTCATCACATCCAGTCTTTACTAGGAAAGCAGTGGAGATATTGCCTCACAGGCACAATCAAATTCAGAAAATCAAATGCTGACATGATTTCACTCCACTGTAGGAGTTTCCTCTTCATTAATATCATTTTAATAGATGTGTCAATGATAGCTATCACTAATAGAAAGCCTTTTCTATTGATATGATCTTCACATCAACCATAACAGTAAGTTACCATTATTCTCACTTTATAAAATAAAAATCTGAAATCAATTGCACAGCTCTCAGGGGGTAAAGTGAGAATTTTAGGTGATTTGATCCCTGCTCTCTCTGCTTCCAAGGGTATTTTTTTCCATGATAGCCCAAAACCTCACCATGAATATTATATTCTGCTTAACTAGGCCTGTGGTTGGGCACTTCAGATGCTCTCTCACCTTCTTTTTTTGTTTAACTAATATTGATAATGTTGGAAGTAATATCTTGGTATATAAAACTTTATTTATAGTGTTTATGATTATATCCCCAAAACAGAGCCTTAAAATTGGGATTATTGTGTTAAAGGCAGAAATATTTTTAAGACAATGTATACATATTGTCAAAAGCTTCCCTCAATGAGACAGTTCAAATTATAATTCAATCAGCAGAACATAAGGCTTCCTACTTTACTGTGCCCTTTATAAAAATCTAGGCTATTTTAATAAGTGAAAATTGATTCTTTATTGCTAAGTTTAAATTTTGAGGGAATGCTATAACTCACTGTATTTTAATATATTAATTCTCTATTCTATAGAATGAACCCTATGTAAGGACTGACTAAATCCTTGAACTAGACATGGGAAGATATGGTTCTCCAGATCTTTTATTCCCTTTATTCATTCAGTAGTCACCCAGCTCCCACTCTAGGTAGGCACTGTGCTAGTGTTCAGGATATAAAGGTGAAAGGTCATCCCCGACCTCAAAGAGCTTGTGAACTAGCAAGCAAAACAGACACAGACAATTCTAATACAGCATGACTAGCACTGTGACCAAAGTAACACAGAAAATCCTTTGAGAAACACCAAGAAGCCACTTAAGCCAGCTTCAGGGAAGTCCTAGAGCCTTTTGGAGACCTAAAGGCTTAGGTTCCATGCTGAAGAAAAGCAGAAGTTAGCCACCATTTTCCCTGACATTCCCAACCAGCATTAATTCCTTCCTCGTCTCTGTTCCTTTACTAATGTATACATAATTATTTGCTTCTACATCTCTCATCGTGCTGAGCTACTTGATGAGGAGGGACCATATGCCTAATTAGCCTTGTACAATGTCCCCAAAATAGTAGGAATGCATTAAACATTTGTTGAATTATTTTGAAATTCTAGCTATGGTGCTCGCTTCGGCAGCACATATACTGAAATTCTAGCTATGTAACTATCTCCTCCCATACCTTCATAAATATACCTTGACATTTACATAAATATGTGTAGTTTTCCTTTTGATTATAAAAGTAATACTGCTCACCACATACCAATCAGAATGGCTAAGCAAAAAGAATGGAAGATAATAAGTGATGGTGATGGATTTGGAGCAACAGGAATGCTCAGACATTGCTGGAGGCAGTAGAAATTGGTACAACCAAAAACCACTGGCAGTATCTGTTACAGCTGAGTCATACGTAAGCCAACAATTCTACTCCTAGGAATAAGCTCAACACAAATGCATGCATATGTTCACTCAGAGGAATATTGTCACCAAAAGCAGCATTATTCACACATAACACCTTCAAACTAGAAAATACACAGATACTCTTCCACAGTTGAATGGATAAACACTGTGGTATGTCAAAAACAGCAAGGAAAAAGAACCTACACTCAACAATAGGAAAGAATTTTTTAAAAATTATTTTGAGGACAAAGAGGCAGATTTTTCTTTTAAAAAGCATTTACTATATGATTACTTTTGTAAAAAGCATACAAATAGGCAAAACTATTCTATGCTATTAAATGTCAGGAAAGGGGGGCACCTGAGTGGCTCAGTCCTTAAGCATCTGTCTTAAAATGGGGTCATGATCCCAGGGTCCTGGGATAGGGCTCCCCGCTCAGGGGGAAGCCTGTTTCCCCCTCTCCCACTCGCCTTGCTTCGTTCCCTCTCTTGCTGTGTCTCTTTCTGTCAAATAAATAAATAAAATCTTAAAAAAAAAAAAAAGGTCAGAAAAGATCTGTTACAGTCACTACCTTAAGGGAATAGGAAGGGGAAGCTGCCCGGATGTGCTAATGTTTCTGTTTCTCGATCAGGGTGCTGGTTACACATGCATATCCAGTTTGTGTCCTTTTCTCTAACTATTCTATACTTACATACCTTTTTCAAAAAAAAAATTTTTTTTTAATTTATCTGAGAGAGCGAGCAGGGGAAGGGGAGCAGTGAGAGAGGGACAAGTGGACTCCACGCTCAGCTCAGCGCAAAGCCCTACTCTAGGCTCCATCCAATGACCCTGAGATCATGACCTGAGCAGAGATCAAGAATCCCGGGCTTGAGCCACCCAGGCACCCCACTTAAATACTTTTTAAAAAAGTAATATATCTTGGGGCGCCTGGATGGCTCAGTGGGTTAAAGCCTCTGCCTTCCGCTCAGGTCATGATTCCAGGTTCCTGGGATCGAGCCCCACATCGGTCTCTCTGCTCGGCTGGGAGCCTGTTTCCTCCTCTCTCTCTGCCTACTTGTGATCTCTGTCTGTCAAATAAATAAATAAAATCTTTAAAAAAAAAAAAAAGTAATATATCTTATTTGAGAAAAAGCTTATTTGAAAAAAAGATACAGAAATTTTTGAAGAATTTTAATCACCCATAATCCAGAAATAAATATTAACATTTTGGATTATTTCCTTCTAGTCTTTTTTTTTTAAGCCACAGCACTTGTGTCACTTCCTCCACCTCTGCTCCTCACATATTCACACACATACACACACATTTTGCAAAATTAGGTTCATTTCTACTTAGTTTTTCTTATTTTTTAATTTTTACTTAAAGCTAAACCATTTAATCAAATATTCATTGCAAGCATTTTTTTAAGATGCAGCACTATATCCCATCAAATGTGTATATACACACACACACAGTTCCAGAAATATATATTATATATTACTAAAAATATCTTATTTACATACCTACACAGTATATGTTAATAATAATAAAAATTTAACAATATATATTCCTGGGAAAGGAACCACCAGGTCGTGAACATTCTTTAAGCTCTACATTCGTTCCGTATTTCCTTCCAGAAAGCCTGCATCCCACCGGCAAGGTGTGAGGGCTCCTTGTATCACACTCCAACCTCAGGTCATTCATTATTACTTCTATTTGTTTTTAAGATGCTGGGGCTCACAACAGGACTATGGAATCTGCCGTCCCGCACCCGGCTGAAGCGCTAGGCAGGACGCGACTCTCACCGCACCTCTCCTTTCCTGGCGCTCGCGCCCCCCGCCTCTGCCCTGCAGTGCGGCCGCGCGTGCGCCTGGGCCCCAGCATCTCGCACCGCCAGTTGCCGTGGAAACCGCAGAAGGAGGCTGCGTCTGCAGACCTAGCTGTAAGCTGTACCGAGGCCCGGGCATGGAGCTGCCGGATCCGGTCCGCCAGCGGCTGGGAAACTTCAGCCGGACCGTGTTCAGTGACTCCAGCCGGACGGGGCCAGAGTACAGCGAGGGTCCGGGTGAGTGGGCGAGGCCCAGCACAGCGGGTATGGCCTGCGGAGGTCTTGGCGCCGGTTTTGGAGCGGCCAGATTTTGCCCGGCCCTAAAATGGCGGTCTCGCCTTCAGCTGGTTCTCCGCAGTGCGGGAAGCGCCCTGGAGGAGAGGCAGAGCCTTGGGCTGGGGCGGGGGCTGGGACTGGATAACTCCAGGCCTCTATCCCAGACAGGTCCTAAGCTGACGGTGCTGCGGCCTGTCGGGCGAACTGTAAGCCGAGCAGCTGAGGTGGCGCCAGCCTTCTTCAAAAACTAAAAATATAAAATCCGCCTTCGCAGCACATGTCCGGTTTCGCATCCTCTGCGAAGGCCGACGGTTTTTCCCTCTGCGACTTCCGCCCTGACTTTTCGGGCAGGGATGGAGTGAAAACAGCCTGTCTCCCCTTCCCACTCCCCACCCCAGTTAAAATATCTTATCCTTTTTTTCTTTTATTAGCAAAACAAGTACATTCCACCGCAAGTCCGTTTTCTGATGGAAGAGATGGAAAGAACTGCTTTTTTAAATGAGTCATTTTAAAACCGCTATCCACTTGGGCATGGCAGCTGCCACATTAGCATCGATTTCAACAATCTCGCCCCTTCCCTGCAGTCTCCAACCTCCAACCCCTATGCCCCATGTATAACTCTTACCCTAAATCTGGTAACAAAATACCACGATGCTGCATTCAACTTGAGGGCAAGTGATCACTCAGTTTCCTCTAAAACCGTTTTTCCTTTCTTAAATCATGATAATAGCATACTGTCAACCAGATCCATGTGGTTTTTAATCACTGAACTCTGCTAGGGAATAGAAATTTTCCCCTCTTGCTTAGTTTAGGATTTTTAAAAGAGAGCAGAGGAAAGTAAAGTCCCATAATTGCATTGTTTTCACCCTAATTTAGGCCTCTTCAAGATTTAGGATGTACAAAGAAAAACATGATGTGAAAAATGAGGTTAAGTTTCTAATTCTAGAGCTAAGGCTTAACAGGCACTAAAATTTGATGATGCACGGTATCAGGGGTCAACAGACATCTTCTGTAAAGGGCCAGATAGCAAGTATTTTAAACTTTGCAGACCTTAGGTCTCTGTAGCATCCATAGATAATGGTAAATGCATAGATGTGGCAGTGTTCCAATAAAACTTTATTTATGGACACTAAAATTTGAATTTCATATGATTTTCAGTGTCACCAAATACTATTCTTTGATTTTTTTCCCCCAACCATTTAAAAATGTGAAAAACCATTTTTAGCTCACTTGCTATACAAAAACAGGCAGCTGGCTGGTAGTTTGCCTACCCCTGATTTATATAATGTTTTAATTTAAATTCCGTTTACAGAACTCAGCTTGTACTTTTGCAAAATTTAGTAAATTCATGTCTTGTGCTTTCAAGGTTCATTTACATATTAACTTGATTTTCAATTGCATGATTATAAGTTTGAAATGCTGAAATACAGACAGCATAACTCTTAAGATGCTCATGTACACAATTTCTAACAAAAACTTCTTTGCAAAATTTGACTAGTTTCTGCTCCAAACATATTAAAATTTTCAGCTTAATTAATTTATCATTTTTTTCCCACATTTTCTTTCTTGTGAATCAGAAGTTTGATTATTTGCACTGTATTTACAAATGCACACCATTACAGTATCCACTGACCAAGAGTTTTACTGTTGTTATGAAAAAAAAAATCCTAGGTTAGTGAGTTGCCTTCAAGTTCAACAAATTTTAAGAATTCATTCTTTTATCAGTGATAATCTAAGAAACAAGAATAAGCAAAGTAAAAAAATAAGTATTATCAAAAGTATAGCATAATAGCAGAAAAAAGCTAAAGGAAACCTTGCTGTGAGGGACAATTATTTCTTATATTTTAAAATTATTAAATGATAGATATACTCAGCTGTGGAGGAAAAAATCTGTTTTTAAGAAATTTTAGAGCCTTTATCAATTCTTAACATTTAGGTCAATTGATTTCAAAATACATATGTTTTTAAATTGTTAAAGTTTAGTCAAATTTAGGATGTATTTGTAGGGCTTGATTTAAAAAATCAAAATTTTAATTTGGGACCCTTCTCCCTTACATAGAAGCATAAGGTATCTTGCAATCAGCCTTAGATAAATGAAGCTCATGTATCACAAATGGCTACATTGATGTCTTTATGACAGTATGTTTCCATTAATTCAGCCACTCTGCTTGTTATGTACCCGGTATAAAGATTTTAGGTTGTGTGAGGGTCTCAAATTTGGGTAGAATGTAGTCTGTGCATACAATGAGGCTGTGTATTAAGTAAAAAAGAAGGAAAGGGGACTAATGTTATCGAGTGCCTGCTAAGTACCAGGTGTGGTGGTGGTACGGTGAAATATCTGACACTGTCACTAATCCTCAACCTGTGAGGTACTTTCATGTTACCATTTTACAGATGAAGAAATTGAGACAGTTTCTGATTGAGAAATTAATTTAAAAGGTTCAATAACTTATCCCAAGTCCGGCATTGAGGGTTACAAGGGTATTTGAGGAGTCAGGAGTTTACTTGGACTCCAAACCTCAATACCTCTTCAGCACACCAGACGTGTCTAGAGTGAGCGCTTGTGGTTCTTTGCTAACACTTTGTTATACACAGGTTAGAGATAAGTACCTAGAGGGGAAGAGATTTCTGTGGGGATGGGACAATAGGATCAAGAAAGGATTTGTGGGAAAAATGGCATTAAATTGGATATTAATGAATGGGTGGGATTAGGGTATGCTGAAGAGGGGTGTGGCTATAATTTAGGGGGATTAATTTTTGTATAAGATTAGTTTATATGTGAGAGATTAGTTTTTATGTATTTTATGTGTTCATTTTATAGGCTCTTTACATAGAACTCCACAAAAGAGGTAATGATCATTATTATCTGTTCAAAAGGATTCAAACTGATAGTCCACATTTAATCTGTATCAGTGGTAGTGCAAAAAAGTCAACAGGCTGTAATGGCAAAAATGATAAAGTAAGTGAAAAATATGAAACATACCCCCAGGAACCCAGTATATGAATTAAATAATATTATGATGAATATTTCCTTTCACTGTCAGTGATTATTAATAGGCTTAAAATTTGGAGTTTTGTTAAACCAATACTGTAGTTATTAATTTTAAGAAACTAAAGGACTTACAGGCCAGTGACCAGGATGAAGAGTTTGTTCTTTTTGTTTCTTTTGTAGATAATGAAATGGTGTCCAGTTTGGGATTGCAAATGTCACTTTATTTTAACACTTACTTTTTCCCACTTTGGTGGATAAGCAGCATTATGATGCTTCAGATGAAGGTAAGTCTATGCTTTAATACTTCCACTGAGATCTCTTCTGCCCATCCCTGGCATTGTGACGTTGTCAATAAAATTAAAGTTCTTAATATTTGTTTTCTATTTCAGGTCAGTTTTATTGTATGTGAAATTTTACAAACATGTTTATTTTTGTGCTTTTATTTTTTAGTATTCAATCTTGCCTGATTACTACAAATTCATCGTGGTCACTGTTATCATCCTAATAACCATAATTGAAGCTATCAGGTTGTATCTGGGCTACATGGGGAACCTACAGGAAAAGGTAGGCTCTTCTTCCCTTTGTCTCCAGACTACATGTTAAGGCAATATGGTTTTCATACTGAGGAAAAGGCAGACAGAGGTGGTAGAATGAGCAAAGGCCTGCCTCCAACTTTACTATTTTTGTCGCCATAGTCTGTTTGCTGAACCTCTTGAGCCTTGGTTTCTTTGTATATAAAATGGGAAAAATATTTATTCCAAGGTTTATTGGGATTAAATGAAATAATTTATACAAAGTAACTGAACATAGTAAGTTCTTAAGAATTGACAGTTTTCCCTCTTCTCTCCAGTCTTGAAAATACTTGGTCAACTGAAAATGTTTAGATCCTGATTATGGAAATGGGGGAAAATTATAAATTCAGGAATCCTGTGCCAGGCACATGTTTTCTGAATCATCATGCTGCCTAAGCGTTTATAGTTACCAGAGCTTAGGGATAATGCCTAAAGATTTCTCTGGTTTTCTAGGCCTTTCATAATTAGGTCCCACCCATGAGCCTCACTGTATTTCTTGCTATTTCCTAACCCAGGCATCCATTCCCGGCTGATATGTTGATTCCTAGTCATGCTCATTCCACATTTTTGCTTACTTACTTTCTTGCTTCTAGTACCTTGGATTCTTTCTTTTACCTACCCTAATCACTCTTGTCTTATTTCTTGTAGTATTTAATTCATACCTCTAAGTGGTGCATTTAATAATTCACTAAGGCATATCATTCTAGCATTGCTGCATTAGCTGCATCAATTCGTTTTCACTTTTAATCTAGACGGTAAATTCTTTGAGGACAAGGACCATGTTATACTCCCTTTGAATTACAGAGCTCATAAAGCAGGTTCATAGTGCTGATCTGTGTAAACAGAAGACTGTCCTTTACTGATCTGATTACTCTTACTGTGTGTCATTGCAGGTTCCTGAGTTGGCTGGCTTTTGGCTTTTGAGCCTTTTATTGCAGCTGCCATTAATTCTCTTCTTGCTCTTTAATGAGGGCCTAACAAATCTGCCCTTGGAAAAAGCGATACACATCATCTTCACTTTGTTCCTTACTTTCCAAGTTGTTTCAGCCTTTCTTACCCTGAGGAAAATGGTAAATCAGTTGGCAACTCGTTTCCACCTCCAAGACTTTGACCGGCTCTCTGCATATAGAGGGGGCATGAGAAGAATGAGATCCTGTATAGAAGAGATTTGACCCAATGCTGTTGAGTGAAAAACTCCAAGATCAGCTCTTCTACCAGACTGTAAGAGGAAAACCTCAGAGTTCTAGCAGGAGAAGGAAGACAAAGCAAGTGTTTTGAACTGTATATTCTCTAGATCTGAAATTCCAAAGTTGGCGGCAATGATGAGACTGTATATGAAAGTAGTAAGTCAACCCTAAATACCTAAAGCCTAGATATCGTCCACATGGTGCCAATTATCTTAATATTTTTGTCGTTGACTTTTCAGGTGTGTAGATACCAGTGCTGGTAGTCACAGGTTACCAGCTTTACAGGACTATTTCTTGTTAGCACCCAAAACCACAAATGTGTATATTTGTTTTAAACTTGCTGGCTGTCCATGTCTTGGCAGTACATCTGAAGCATAAGGCAATTCTTGTCAATATTCTGGTGTATTAAACTATATTTGTAAATCAAGGCACCAAATTTTCATGTCTGCTAAGATTAAATTCTAACCCTCCTCTTAGCTTTTATGTTGAAGTTTAAAAACAGGTGGATTATCATGGTATTTTGAAAATCATAAAATTGTAATTTTCATAAAACGATGTTCAGTATTTATAGTGGTGGTATGCAAGATATCTTTATAATAAATTATGAAATACTGATGTTAAAGTATTTGCAACAAATCATTCCTGTCTTGTATAATTCTGTTGGGCTGTGGGTTTATTATTTTTATTACAGAGTTGTTAGGGAAGAAAAGAGAAAAATATATCCATTAGAGAGCCGTTTATGTAGTGAGCACTGCACTAGGCACGTTAACCCTTGTGATCTCATCTACTAAATCATTGCTCACTGAAGAACTCATAGCCAGTAAATACACATGAGGCTTGATTTGAAAAGCAGGGTTCCTCTTAATACACAATGAGAGCAGAGATGAATAAGGGGACTATACTCAAGACCTTAAATCAGGATGTCCCCTTGCTAATGGGAGAAATCTATTTAAGGAAGTTCTGTTGAGAATAAAGCTGCATGGGTGTATCTGAACATTATTTTCAGTGATTATTGGATTGTCTTCAGGATATAATATTTTCTTTCCTACAGAGAAATGTGCCTTTATAAGTAATGTATTTTACTGAGAGACAGTTGTGGCTACAATAAAAAGTATTCCTTTCAATTTTCCTTTTCTATAATTCAGGCTCATCCTAGTATCCCCCTGTTTTGCCTTATTCATTCTTTTATTACCTACTTTTTGAAAAATTTTTTGAAAAATTTGATAATGTTTTTGCTTCTATTAGTTACACCTGACTAAACTAATTATGCTAATTTTATTATTTCTGCTTCCTACTATTATATATGAAGTTCAGTCAAAGACTTCTCCCTGGATGCACTGGCCGTTTAACTTCTCCCTTCTACTAGAGTTGTTACTAAGTATACTCCAATAATTTGAAATTCAAAATACAATAATGTTTGGATATTTTTTTAAAACTTACATTTATTTGCATTTGTTTTCAGTTGGGAATAGATAGGTGATTCTATAAGAAAATACAAAATAAGAACATTAAGTCTATCTAGCAGATAAATCAAGGGATGATCAAGAAAGACTAACATTTCTTTACAGAGTTTTATCTTAAATATCAGAGCCTCTGATACATTTAAACTTTAATTTAGTTTTAAAAGATTAATAGCTAAAATATTAGCATCATAATCAAAAAAATTTAAAGGCTATAGAGATTTTGGTTAAAATGAATTTGATTTATTAAAATTGTCTACAAATTTTTTTTTTTTTTGCTGTAGCAAATATATTGCTTAAAATGCAAATATAATAAGGGTGGGGAAAAGAAAGTAAGAAAATCAATTGAGAACATGACCAAGTCTTTTGTTCTTTCCCTCTAAACAATGAAACCATGATTTTGCGTCAGGCTGAACCAGTATTTCCCGTTGGAGGATACCTGGTTCCCTATGGAAGCATATGAAAATTGAGGGAGAGAAGATATTTACATGTCAGCACTTTGGGAGTTCATGCAGTCCTTGTTTTTATTTTATTTGAATAAGTTCGTCTCTTCTTAATTCCTACTACATCTTTCTCTCTAGGGGTCCATAACACTCTTCTGAAAATTTCTAGTTAGGATGTTGACCTTCAGTATTTTGTCTTTCACATATTTTTTTATTCCAGAGGCTTTTTCTCATCACAGACAAGGTGGATGCAAATTTCTGTGGATCAGAATGATTTTTAAAAATCTTTTATTTTTTTTTTTTAAGATTTTATTTATTTACTTGACAGACAGAGATCACAAGTAGGCAGAGAGGCAGGCAGAGAGAAAGAGAGGGAAGCATGCTCCCTGCTGAGCAGAGAGCCTGATGTGGGGCTCGATCCCAGGACCCTGGGATCATGACCTGAGCCGAAGGCAGAGGCTTTAACCCACTGAGCCAACCAGGTGCCCCAATCAGAATGATTTTTAAGAACTGGATTTTCGTCGTCATATGTTTGAAGTTCTAGTATGTGAAAGGGCATAGTGGAGGGTCCACAAACAACTAAGACCGCTCCTGGTGCTCAGGTGTGTGATGTAGGAGGTACAATATTTGCAAGACACCCCTAAGTTGGCCCTTCATCAACATTACTTAACAGATGCCATTCCTCCCATGGTCAGAGCACAGGAAGAGAACGTGGTTAGGGCTGCTGGGGGTGTAGTTAGACACATCCATGTTTGTGCTTGCCTGTGAACAAGAACAAATGTACTGTCAGGTAGGAGAGGCAAATGAGCAAATGAGTGATAGCACAATATAATGGGCACTGCGGGATTACAGAGAAGGGACATAGAGAAGATGGAGAATCTGGGAACCCTTCCCAAACAAAGGAACACTCGAGAGTTGAAGAATGTGTGGGTAATAACTGTTCATTTCAGTATGAAGAGATAGAAGTAACAGTGACTTGGGATACAGTTTCAGGTATTCCATGGAGTTTGCTGAAGCTGGGGGAGAGGGTACATGAGAAGAAAGAATACAGAATAAGGTAGAGAAGCTGGGGAGCCCCTCATAAAGATTTTAATACTCTGAATTCCTGAGTGTTTTAAACAGTGGAGTAGCACAGATTGAGGTTCCAGAAAGATCTCTCTGAAGACTGTGGAAATGGTTTGAAAGGTGGGACCAGATGTTGATTTGACGAAGTAACTTTGGAGAAAACAAAGTTTTTTAAAAAATCATTTGCATTTTAAAATAGGTGTTGAAAAGTTTTTCCTAACGCAATTTTTTTGTGGATTACACACGATACTAACCACAAGGACGCCCTCACTGTGTTATTGCCCCTCTGCCTGTTGTTAGTTTATCACTGGACTTAAATAGACCTCTATCTGAAAATAGCCTTATGCATCTTGTTTGACATAAGCTAAACAGGTTCTTAATTTGCATCAGTTAAAATTATAGCTTTTCAGGGCGCCTGGGTGGCTCAGTCAGTAGGCGTCTGCCTCCAACTCAGGTCATGATCCCAAGGTCCTGGGATCAAGCCCCATGAGCAGGGAGCCTGCTTCTTCCTTTCCCACTCCCCGTTTATATTCCTTCTTTTACTATGTCTCTCTGGGTCAAATAAATAGAATCTTATATAAATAAATAAATAGATAAATATCATAGCTTTTCAAAACTCAACTTTTTTTTTTTTATTTTTTTTTTAAATTTATTTGACAGAGAGAGATCAGAAGTAGGCAGAGAGGCAGGCGGAGAGAGAGGAGGAAGCAAGGCTCCTTGCCGAGCAGAGAGCCCAATGCGGGACTCGATCCCAGGACCCTGAGATCATGACCTGAGCCAAAGGCAGAGGCTCAACCCACTGAGCCACCCAGGTGCCCCAAAACTCAACTTTTAAAAGAAATTTAATCAAGATTTTGAGAGTAAAGAGAAATCATCTCTAATTCCACCACCCTAAAATAAGAACTTCAGCAAATGTCATGCTTCCTTGCTGTTTTCCCTTTGTACATTTTAAAAACATACCGTGATCACTGGCACTTACAATTTTGCACTCTTGCTTTTCTAAAAACGTAAATATTTACCCATCTTTCTACCTGGTCACATAGCCATCACCTTAACTGATTGCACAATATTCCATCAAAGAGATAGATGCTAATTTTTAAACTTCTATTATATATTTGCATTGTTTTCTTCTTTTGCTTTAATACATAATATTATAATGAGCATCTCATGTATGTTGCTTTTTCCACATCTTACATGATTCTTTAATAAGCTAGATTCTCAGGAGTGAAATTGCTGTATCACAGGGTATGAATATTTTTAAGGACTCTTGGTGCATGATGCCAAATTATAATATCCACTTTCTGCCATTTACCCCTCAGATTTCTAAAGATAGCACAGCGAAAATTTGATAAGGACAGACTTATGGACCTTCGTTACATATTCATCTTTGTATTTCTAAGTAACTACCATAGGTACACTAAATCTCCTAAGGAGGGAAAAAAAACAAAAAACAAAAAACTAAAAGCTGTGAAAGAAAAAGTGCAAAGAATTAAAAAAAAAAGATTTTTGAATTAAGGGAAAACTGATAAGGGACAGGAAAAGGATTAGGCAAGCTGGTCACAGTCAGCAACAGACAGTGAGATGTGACACAATAAAAACTGGGTCATTGAGTTGGGACAGCCCTAGGACATAAAAAGACTGAAATGAAGTAAAGCTCTGGATTACTTTGTTCTTGAATATTGAATTTTTTCAGAAGCATGGGGCATGAAATATTATAGTGATAAGCCAAGATTGGAAACATAGCCAAGAAAAAGAGGTCTTTAAGGGATTGTTTAAAATGTGCTGAAGGAATAATTTGGTTTAGTCTTAAACGGCTCAAAAAGTAAATTGACATAAAGCTTTTGCATAGCAAAATAGGCATGGAGGCAGAAAACAAGGAGGCAAGGGGAACAGTGTACCCTATTTGTAAATTTGTTACAATGTAAAATATTAGATTTTGGTCCTAGAAAATGCTCCTCAGAAAACTTCAATGCTGCATTTTTTAAAAGTGCAACCAACACTAATTTATTATGGATATACATCTTTATTCCAGTTTTAAAAGATTGTTAATTTGGAGGCTTTAACTCAATTTAAAAAATAGTTAATTGTAAGAATCATTCTAAAAATCTTTTCCCCCCAGTGTTGAAGCATTTAAAAACACTCAGGCCCTGGAAAGATGTATTTAAATACAATGTTTTGTATTTAACACCATGTTTAAATTTGTCCTGGTGCTGTCATAGATTTACATCTTTCTAAAAATGAGACCAGTCAAGAGAGTATAGAACTCTCAAAAACAAGATAAAAACCTGAGGATAGACAGAACGTATATTCTATGAAAAACCAAAGACACTCGGAAATTGATCTTATCAACATGCTCAATCTAAACAAGAGGCTAGAAGCAGCTTTTTAACCTCGTGAGGTATATGAAATCACAGTGCATATATCACGGCTATTAGTCCTTCCCTGCTCTGCAGACCCAAGTGTTTAGCACTAGGTTACATTAAAAATGCAGATTTTTAAAAACACCAAGAATGTTCTCTTAATTTTTCAGAACTGTAATAGCACTATATTCGTCTGATAGGGAAGTGGTATCGTTGATTAATTTTTAAAGGTTTCTAGTTCCTGACCCTGAGTTATTCTAATCGAAATCATGTTGGAGATACTGCTCAATATTATAGCTTAAAAGAGAAAAAAATGTTTGATAGTCAAATTCAAAATCAAAATTCAAACTCCAAAAAAATGTTTGATATGTACATTTACTAATTGTTTTTATAAACGCTTGATTCACTAGTGCCTAGAAGGACTAAAATGATCACTAGAGAGGGTGGAAGTTTAGGATTTGGCTTCAATAGTTTTCCAAAAAAAAAAAAAAAAAAGAAGAGCTGGTAAGAGTCAATTTTTTGCTGTTCTGAAAACTAGAGCTCCCTATGGTCAATAAACCCTTGCTAAGGAAGGCAGCTGACCAGTTAACTGTTGACTGTTCAGGAATTTACAAAGCAGGGCAACAAAGGATGTTCATCCTTTTTATTTTTAGTATGCTGTGATTTCATTCTGCAAAGTAAATGTAATTTATTTAGCTCCAACAATATACCATCTACTATGTTTGATATTTCAGGACAAAAAGAGAAATAGGAGTGAGTCCTGCCCTTCTAACCAAGGCCCACAGGAGACAAATTTAAGGTGATCATACTGGCTTAGGATAATATTGCATTAGAGCAATATAAAATATGAAGATAAGTGAGGAATCCTGTCTAGGAGGCAGGAT